CTCAAGGCGGCCATGCTGTCGGTAAGGCAGGACACATTGTTTTGGACACGTGAGGTCTATGAGAAGATCAGGACCTTCTCCAGGGGCCGCCCACAGACCAGGACATCCATGGACTACGCACCACCCCAGAAGGGCAAGAACAAGTCCAAGGGCAAGGGGAAGTCCAGGGGCAAGCCTGGGAGCAAAGGGAAAGGTAAGCCCCCCCAGCCGAACAATCAGGCCTCCAGGGGCAGTAACAAGCAGGCGGCCACCGATCCGAAAGGGAACCAGTTCTGTAACAACTGGATGCGCGGGCGCTGCCCGGGCAACTGCGGACGCACGCACAAGTGCAACCTCATCCTGGCGACGGGCCGCATCTGCCTGGGAGACCACCTCCCGCAGGACTGCCCGGGTTGACTAGGGGCTCGGACCCCGACCCCCCGGGAGGCCTCAGGTGCCGAGGGCCCTGATAGGGCCCGGGGGGGCGAGAGGGGGCGAAAACGCCCCAAGCAGGCACATGAGCCCCCTCCTGCAGGTGCCGAGGGCCCTGACACAGGGGGGGGACAGGCCAGGTGGCGGCCCTCCTCGGCGGAACAAGGATGGGGACGACAGAACCAGCGTGCGCAACACCCCAGCTGGGGTCAGAACAACCACACAGCTGACACAACGGCAACGCCGCAGCCCCGTGCCACAGGTGCCGAGGGCCCTGAGATGGCAGGGGCGGGACGGTTCCCCGCAGGTGCCAAGGGCCCTGACACGGGGGGCCGCGCCCAGCAGGCCCGAGTGCCGGACAACTGGCAGCACACCGCAACGCCGAGGAACACGCCCAGGAGGCAGCCGATCCCACTTCCGGCGCCCAACATCATCAAGCAGGACCCGGTGGTTTTTCATAAGAGTTCTGTTGGGCTGAATGAAGGGGGCCAACGCCTTTCAGCTACCCCCCTGACAAGTCCCACGGAGCTGTCACCGGGAGGGGACACCTTCCCGTGGATGGAGAACATCCCGGAGCGCCTGGCACAGCGGCTGAGATGGACACAGGGCACATCGCCCAAAGTTCCATCCAGTGGGCCCATCATTGTCCTGCTCTATGCAGGCAAGGAAGACCCAACTTCCTTAGACAGCTGTCTTCATGCCAACTACCCGCACCTCTCCAGCATGGTGGTGGCAGTAGACATCCTACGATCGGGACCAAAAGGGAACCACGACATGCTCCAACCCGAGCTGTATGGAGCGCTCTGCACGGCAGCAAAGCAGGGCCGAGTGGTCTTCATTGGGGGAGGACCCAACTGCAGGACATGGTCCATCCTGCGCCACATACCAAAACCGGGGGCCCCCACCCCGGTGCGAGGACGCACTCGAGAGACACTTTGGGGCCTCCCACACCTGGACCAGGCCGCCCAGACTCAGCTTGATGAGGACAGTACCCTCATTTTGAGGCAGATGTACATCACCAGCCTGGCAAGGGCCTCAAGATCGGCGGTCTCTCTGCCAGGGCCAAAATCCTTCTTGGAGCACCCGGAGGACCCAGTGGTGAGCAGCTCGCTGCCCAAAGCCAAGGAATGCTCATCCTTCTGGATCACGGAGGAGGGGCAGCTTTGGATGGAGGAAAACTCCCTGACAGCAATCTCCTTCGACCAGTGCCGCCTGGGCCAGCTGGTCAAGAAGGCCACCACACTTGCCACGGATCTCCCAATCCAGGACTGGGATCAAATGCGGTGCACACATCAGTCACATGTGGGCACCAGCGAGTCCTCGACTCTCAGCAGATACCCCTGGGATATGATGGCAGGCCTGGCCAAAGCCATCGCTGTGTCACTCGCAGCGCCGGGGCACATCCGGATCCCCTCACAATTCCCGGGAAACCCTAAGGAACCACCTAAGGGAAGGGGGTCGGACCCCCCTGGGGGCCCTTCTCCCCGGGGAAAACGGGGACCCAATCAGGGAGGCGGTCCCTCCTCGTCACACCAGGGCCCAGAGCCCGGAGGCAAGAATGCCCCGAAGCCCCGCCAGCACGGGCACATCCACCATGAGGCTGACACCGTAAGCCCTCGTGGAACTATGAGTCCAGACTTCCCATCTCCCATGCCCCCGATGGCCGGAGATGCGGAACAACTGGAAAAGGAAGAACATGGGGACCAGGTCCTGGACCGCCCCGAATGTCTGCCCGCTTTCCGGGTCCCACGCCTCACTGACCGAGTTGCGATTGTCCAATTGGGTTTCCGTTCACGCCCCCTGAGAGATGGGGGGGGGAAACCTTCCTCGGGGAGGCTCAACCCCCCCTTTCGGAGAATTTCCCCTTTGGCTACTTTGGGCGCCCTGATCATGACCCTTACCAGGCCCTGGATTGATAAGGTCCGGATGTCCCTGGCATCAGGTGCCACCACACACCCCTTCCAGGAAGCCGACCTCGAGGAGCTGCGGGCTATCCTAGGACCAGGCACCTCCATGAACGATGCCCAGGACAACCCTTCCTCCTGGACTTAGTGTCGCACTTGGCATCCCTTTCAGGTGACCCTGATTGGGAGTTCCCCCTAACACTGAAAGAGGGGGTCCCCTTGGGAGTCTCGGACCCTACCTTGACCTCCCCGGGAGTTTGGCCCACTAAGGAGGAGCTTAAGGGAGAAGCCTGGCTGGGGGAAGACCCCCCCCCCGCCAGTGGCTCATGATAACTACCCAACGGCTGAACTCTTTGCCGAGGAAATCGAATCAACCTTTTACGAGGAACGAGCCTTGGACATGGTGGACGGGCCCTTCACTCGCTCCGAGGCGGCGGAGAGGTGCCGCTGCAAACCGGAGGAACTTTGCCCGGGCCCCCTTGCAGGGATTGATGAGTCGGACAAGATCAGGACGATTTACGATGGCTCCAAAGGGGGAGCAAACGCACACATCCAGGCTCACACAGGGGAGAAGACCACTGCACCGATGGTCGGAGACTGCCTCCACGCCATCCACTGGCTCAGGACAGCGACGGACCATCCCCATCTACTTTGGGCCACGCTCCCGAACACTGAGGAGAGACCTCGGGATGTTCACCAACCGGTGCAGGGGCAGTCCCCAGGTGCCGAGGGCCCTGAGAGGGACCCCCGCAGCACCAGCCTGCCCCCCAGATCCGAGGGGCCTGATCGGGGCAGGGGGAGAAGGGAAACCTCCGGCGGCATGGACGTCTCTCTGGGATCGACACCCTCAGGAAAGGGACCACTCCCAGGTGCCGAGGGCCCTGATAGGAGGGCCCCCTTCCCCCCAACCCCCCCGGGCACGGAATGCCCTGGGGGGAGCGGGGGGGAACCCCTGAGATGGCAGCTGCCGACACAGGGGGAAACCTTCATCATCCTCAAGGCAGATGTCACCAAGGCCCACAGGCGTATTAAAGTGCTCCCTAAAGACTGGAAATACCAGGTGGCCTGCATCCAAAACCGGTGGTGGGTCAACAGAGTGGGCACGTACGGCATGGCCTCGGCACAGCTGTACTGGGGAAGAAAGGCATCCCTGGTGCTCAGGCTCTTGTACTACATCTTCCCCCATGTGGACTGGCACTTAGTCTTTGTGGACGACTACTGCTGGGTCCTCAGATGCAGCCGGGCGGACTGGGACGCCACAGCCATCTTGGCTACACTGCTGGCGCTGGGAGTCCCGCTTTCCTGGAAGAAGACGGCGCTCTCCCCGATCAATACCTGGTTGGGTTTTGTGGTGGACCCAATCACGCCCTGTGTACTGCTGGCTCCAGTCAAACACGTCATAATCCTGGCCACTCTTAAACGGCTGGCCCAGGGGGACATCTTCACCAGCAAGGAGGTGGAACAAGCCCTAGGCCGTATTCAATGGGCTACTTCGGCGTGCCCATTGACGAAACCTTTCCTCCAGCCTTTTTGGAGCTGGAAGAAGGCCTGCACCACTTCGGGCAGGCCACCGAAGCTGGTTCGTGCTCTGGCCATACTTTTGGGGAGACTCTTCAACCAGAGGTTCCCACTGGCATCCCCATTTGCTCCCACACTCCCATGGACGGGGGCATCTGATGCGGGAGCTGGCAGACAGGCGGACCATGCATGGGTGGGTGGTTGGTGCTCGGACGTGCCCAACCCCGACAAGTCCCGTGTTAAGTGGTTCCAGCACAGAATCACACCGGAGGGCGAGCCGTGGGCCTTCACTACTGGGGACCCGCAGCGGGCGATAGCGGCCTTGGAGCTCTTCGGCCTCCTCCTTTTGGTGAGGGCCGTTCTGCTTTGTGCAGCCGGCTCGGCTTCTCACACTAGGATCCTGGTGGCTAGTGATAACCAGGGAAATGTTTTCTCCCTTCTTAACGATTCCACTCGTAGGATGCCCAATGCGGCCATCCTCATGGAAATTGTGCTCACGCTGCATGACCAGCAGGTCATGTTGGGGCCGTCGCATGTGAAACGCGACTTCAACACGTGGGCGGATGAGCTGACCCGCAATTCCCGACTGAGAACCGGGTCTTCCCCTCAGTCGAGAGCGAATTGATCACACTGATCTTCGCTACTTTCCTTCCTCACCCATGATGCCGGGAGGGCATCCGGTGAGGTGGGAGGATTTCTCCCTCGCTGTGGGAGTGGCATCAATCCTACTCCCATCAGCTGCTGAGGGGAGCTGCCCAGTGGAACTGGGCAATCCTCCCATTTTGGCACTAACCCTTATGCGGCAAAAAAGGAGGCACCGTTTTGCGAATAAGGCCTCAGTAGCACCTGAGTGGTGCTTCAAAGAGTCCGGTGCAAGTAAAGATTTAAACTTTCGGTTTAAGGATGAACGTGGGCGTTGTTCAAGGGAATCCCGGGGCGAAACGTGGATCCACTGGGTGGCGGCTGGACTTATAGCGGGGTCCCTTCCGCCATTACTCTCATCTAGATGCTGTTGGTTCAATTACCCCCCTCTTCTGGTTGTAACCCCTAGATGGTGTTGGTTGAATTAGTTCCCTCCCTTTCATCCTCATTTTGTCGTACCCCAACCATTTCAATGGTGGCCAACTGGGCCCGGGGCTTTGGCATCGCCGGAAAGCAACGCACGAGGCCAAGAGGGGCCCCGCCTTCTGCGACCCCCCAGGGAACGTCTTCTACACCCCGGCCCCGGGAGGCGATGCGTTTGTTTTTTTGGGGGTAAGCTGAGACTTCTCCGTCTGCACGTTTTGTTTTTTGCATTTTGTTTTTGGTTTTCGTCTTTTGGGTCTGTGCATTGTTGGTGGGGGGCAGCAAGAAGCACGGCTGTTTGCTACCATACCAAGGCTTGTGCCTGGGAAAATTGCCGGTTTTCCACCTGCAAAATCTGAGTGTGCTGTTTTCCCCCTTTGTTGGAGGGGTTTCCCTTTAAGATCAAGTACCCAAACAAGGTGGCCTCGGTTCCCGTTGCCACTGGGCATTTGGGTGAGAGAGATGGGTACCAAGCTGAAGCGGGGACCAACTCAAAAGACACGCAACAAGATCTTTGGATGGTTCAAATGGGTATGGGTCAAAAACACAGCACCAGTGGACTGCGAATTTTAGTCCTTGGTTCCATTTATCTGGGTCCCATTTTGGGTACCTATTTTTGACCCACAGGTCCCGGTTGTCCTTTGGGGGTTTTCTTTCAGTTCCCGGGAAGCTTCCCTTTGGTTTTCCCGGGCCGCAGGGGTTCAGATCAAGCAACAGGGCCATTCGGAAATCGGGGGCACAATCAACTCGGGCGTCTCTTGAGAGGGAATTCCGAAAAAAGGTCCGCTTCCTATTGGTTTGCCTTCAAAACCAACCAGATACGGGTACCACAGCACCAACTCCAAAAAAGGGCACTCAACGTGTCCGGCGCGGCGCGCGGTCCATCCGTCGCCGGGTTTATGGCGTTGCCAGCGAGGTTTCAGCTGCTATGGGGAGCAGACTTTGGCGCTGCTCGAGTCCCTGGTGGAGTGCGGGAAGTTGGACTGCGAGGACCCCGCAAGCCGGTGGTGGCGGAGGTCGGAGGGGGGGGGATGGTTTGGGGGAGTTGGAGGGGTTAGGGGGCTGGGGTGGATTCGGAGAAATTGGGATTCCCGTCAAAGGGGAAACCAAAAGATGTTGGAAGGGACAGGGGTTTTGGATGTTTTTTGCTCCTTCGGCCGGGTCCTCTACATAGTTGTTTAAAGGGAAAAGGGGCGAAGCGGAAGCCGTTTTGTTGCCTTTTGGCAGGTTTGTGCCTTGAGCCTTTTGAGCACCTTTGGTGCACAACTTTGCTGCATGGACTGGGTTGGTTGATATGGGATCTCTTTTTGAATTCCGATGGGTGTCTCAAAATAGGGATTTGGACCCTCAAAATGGGTGGTATTGGGTGATTTTCCTTTTCATGTTGCTTCTGCAACCAACCCCAGGAAGGGTACCGAGCCTCAAACAACTCAGCCTCATTGTAGATTTCAGGGCTCACCAATACGACCCAGAATGAAGACTAAATTGCCTCAAAGGGCCCCCAAACAAATTGGACAGCTTCCGGATGGTTTCCCGAAAAAACCCAACCCCAGAAAGGGTACCAGCTCGAAAAAGAACCCTACTCGTACATGATTTTGCGGAATGCTCATGAAGGTTCCTTGCAGGCACCCAGACTGGTTCCTCCAACCCAAGCCAACCCGTGGCTCTTCCACCCGTGGTTTGGGTTTGGGGAGTTGAACCTGTTCGGATGGGAAACCAGTGTGAGCCCAGGCTCCGCAGGTCTTTTTTGGGATTCCGAATGGGTTTTCGGGGAACCCCCCCCGCAAATGTTGGTTTTCCTTTTGGCTACCCTCAAGGTTTGACAGACCCAAATCCCATTTTGAGACAAACCCCAAGGGCGACATGCCAGTTGCCGGGCAACTTAATGCGAGCTCACTGGACAAAACGAGCCCATGATGATGGTTCTTTACTTGGGGCCTCTGTATTTTCCGCCGTAAATTATCATAGCTTGTCCAGATATTGTTCAGGGACACGCCTGGGTGTGACAATTTTTGGATTCGGACACTCACCTTCTATTGGGGTCGTTTATTTTGGGTGTTCCAAGAGGAAGCCGAACAGAAACCGAAGCGCTGAGACCTTTGGGTCCACTCTGAAGCTTGAAGCCCCCGAGTTCGCGAACCCGCCAAAAGTCATCTCCCAACCAGTCCAAGGTTGGTTGCACATCTTGTTCCAAGCCATCCCAGGTGTTCCCAACTAGATCCAAAGAACCAGGGCAGGGTACCTTCAGCCCCATAGGTGCCGAAAAATCGACGGCCCTGGTTTACCTGGTGGTTCAATCATCTACCAGGGCCATCTATTTTCCCCAAAAAGGACACCTATGTTCAGCCCCCCCCCCCCTTTTTTTTTGGGGGGGGGGGAGGGGGGGGGGGGGGCGCTTTTTCCCATAAACAAATATATATATATATATATATATACGACGAGAGCGGCGCGCCGCCCGTCTCGTCTCTCGTCTGCCTGCTGCCGGTTTCGGTTTCCAGGACTTCGCCAAGCGCCTGGAGGCGAAGTTCGGGAAGAGCAGCCCCTACGAGGTGGAGGCGGTGGACCAGGAGATCGATTTGGCCATGGGGCAGAATCTATGGCTCCATGTTGGGGTGGATGAACATCCATTGCCACCTAATTTGATGTTCACCAGGGGTACAGGATTTTGACCAGCCATTTGTCCGTCCCTCCGGGTGGGTCTGTTGCGGTTTTACGGCCGGGGAAAAAGGTTTCAGGAGCTTTCAGGCTCCCGCAAAAAAACAGCAAGCAAACACGGGAAAGGGTCAAATTGCCCTTTTGGCCTTAAACAAAAAAACAACAAAACGGCAGTTCGAGGGTTGTGTTTTTGAGGGCTGTAGTTTTGTTGCGACCCTTTGTGAGGGCACTGTCTTGGTGTGTAGAAGTAGGGCGTGCTAGTGTTTTGTTTAACGTTAATTCTAGTTGTGGTTGTTGTGAGCGAAAACAAGCAGAAGTCGCCTTTTTCTTATTTGGTTGGTTCCTATTTTAAGACAAATTGGTCCCCCCAAAACCAAAACAACGCTGGCAGGAGAACTGGCCGGAGCTCAAGAAGAACCCCACGGACGAGTCTGGGCAAGTCATCGAGTCCGAGCGGAAGTGGTCCATGCCTTTACCTGGACCCTGGCGCCACGGGTCCATCAAGGCGGGGCTCGGGTCAGCGGGTCAGGGGTTGGCCCATGGGTTGGCCAGGTGGGCTGGGTGGGGCGTTTGGGGCTTCGGGCTTGGAGATTGGACTCGGGATGGCCTGTTCTTCTGCAAAGGGCCGGCATGGGGGAGACGAATCCGAAAGTTCTTGCCGAAAAAACCAGGATGGACCACCTAGTCTTTCTATGTCCGTGACTGGAATTCCGAAATGATTTTGGCCGCGCGCGTCACTTGGCAGGGTTGTTGAAAATCGAGGTCCCCCGCCCATTCTGAGCAACCCAGCTTGTTTTTGCCACATAATTGTCTGTTTTGATCGAGGCTTGATCATTACCCTGCTTTAGGCTTGTTGAAAGAGAATGAAAAGGAAAACCATCATGCTTGTAACAAATGCAACATCACTGGGTATGTGTCGAACTAGGGATTGGGCCCCCCAAAAAATGGGGCCCGGTTTTCCCTTGTTCTCATCAGCCACGGGCACGGAATCACCTGGCAGCGGCAGGGGTTCCTCAAGAACTACGTGACCGACAAGAAGGGCTTCCCGGAGTGTGGCTCCAGTGACGAGCAGGCGGGACGCTGAAGGTCGGAGGTGGCAAGTGACACGTTGATTGGTGGACGGAAGGTCACACCCCCAAATGCCACGCGAAAGAAAGGGGGGCACCCCCAGTTTTCTGGCGTGAGCAAGGCTCAATTTTTTCCCCCTTGAAATCCATTAGGACCCCTTCTGGGTGACCATTTCTTATGTTGACAGAGAGCCTTCTGGTGGAGCCCATGTTAGTGGCGATTGGTTTGTTTTTCGGGTTCGCATCGGTTTTCCTTTCAATCAAGGAAGGGAATCTTGGACCCATGATGTGCGTCAAACAAAGGGACCCCCCCCAAAGAAAACGGGAACCGCGTTTTCCTTTTGGCCCCCTTGAACCAACCCCCCAAAATGGACACCCTCAAACCACAAGCCAATATACATTTAGGAGTGGACACTCTCCATCCAAAGCATCTGGTTGCTAAGCCTCGGACTGGATCCATCAAAGTGACATCCTCAGAAATCACCTTCCTCTAAATGGTGTCTTAAAGGGAAACCGCCCGGTCTCAAAAGTATTTTAGAGCCTTCAAAATGCAACCGTTTGAAGGGACCCAATTCAACACAGAGGATTTGGTGGGGGTCCCAATCCGATTATGGGCGGCTTCGACTCTCCTTTGTGCTGACCCAGTTTGGGCCCCGCCTTCTTATTCCCAATTCGCAGGCTTTCCCGCGGGCAAGTTGCAGGTTTTTCCGGTGGATCTAAATCGAACCTGTGAAACCCTTGGCCCCTCTGGGCTGATTTCCAGCAAGCCAGTCGTCTGGGGACGGCCAGCTTCAGGTGGACGGGGTTTGCAAGGTGGCGCCCGTGGCGGCCCTCTTGGCGGGCAAGGAGAGCATGTTGCCGTCCGTGGACGCGGCCGTGCGCGTGGTGCAGGCAGGCGGAATCTGACACAGGTGGCTTTGATGAGACTCACCAAAGCCCAAAGCGAGTCGACCTTTGAAGCCGTTTTGGGTTCCCTGGTCCAAGCTTAGGCGAGGGTCCAAACAGTCCCTTTTGCTTCCAGGACCTTTTGGGCAAGACATGTTTACTCTGTGCTCAAGGTTCGAGTTCTTTAGGCGCTTAGAGTAGCCAGGAGCCGATCAGATTTCCAACAAAAGCAGAAGGCTCGGGGTTGGGGTCCTCTGGATGGTCCTGGGGAACAAGCCCTTCCTGAACCTCTCAGAGGAACAGGCGCGCGGTACAGCTTGGGTGATATAGCCCAATTGCCCCCCCTGGGACTCCAAGTCGGCTTGGTGGGTTCACACCAACAAGACGACCGCGTTTTGCGACTGGCAAATCGGGCGGGAAGGAGGGAGCTAGTGGACCCTCTTTTGGTTGGTGTAGACGGGAAACAACAGTGACACCAACACCTTTAGGGGGCCAATTCGGATTCTTCAGAGAACCCCCAACTGGGTTTGTCGTTTTAAGGGGAACCGACAAAACAGGTTGTCTCAAACACTCCCTTTAGCTTCACCTTAACGCAGCCCCCAGAAGGGTAGCCTCAACAGACACCCAAATAATAACTATTGACATATTGACAGACCTTGCAACTATCACTACCGTGGCGCCGTGACCAAACCCTCAAAAGGATCAACTCTGGAATCCACCGCTAGAATGGTACCCAAGCCCTCCCCAGCTTGGGTTTCCGACAAACATATTTTAGTTTCTACCTCTTGGTAGACCCTTAGAATAGGTGGACCCCCCATTTGTTTTTTCCCCAGAACACCGACAAAGCGGCGGCCTTCGCCTGTGGCTTCGCCCGCGTCTTGGAGAAGTTGGTGCTGGGCGCGGAGAGTGTCTCGGACGCCATCTTCGCAGCCCAGGCCGTCGGTCGAGTCGCTGTGCTCGAATCGTTTGGGGGCCGCGGTCGGTCAGGGTTCCATCCATGGACCCTTCTCCAAATACCCATTCTTTCATTGTTGCGGTAAACAGGGGTCCAAATTTGAGGCGACTCCGTATACACTGTTTAGAGGTGGAATCATGTCGAGCTCTGACTCAAAATGGGGGGTATTTGCCTGCCAGGTTTTGTAAAATGTGCAACAGAACAAGCGGTATGGGGAGTGGCGGGGGAGAGTTGGTCAGGAGTTGGCTGCCGCCTTTGGACCAACCGGGGTCCAGGGTCAACGTTTGTGACTTGACCAAAATGTGGAGCAAATGGGGTCGGATCCAAAGGTCCTTTACATGGGATGACCATTGGGATAAACCACTATACAGATGATATGCCCCACTAAACGGGGCAAGTTGTGTATGGTCATTTGGGGGCCAGGAATATTGATCCGTCCCCAAATGGGAAGATTCAAATCCTAGGTTGAGGTTACACGTTGGCCAAGGGGGTTGCAATTCGAGAGGTTCTGGGGGTGGGGGTTCCCTTGAAGCGACCATTGGACGTCGGAGTGTCGTCGATGTAGCTGCCTTTCTGGTGAGCGACAATTTTCCACCGACTCCGGGGGTAAAACGAGCTCACGCCTTTTGGAATTGTGTAGTGTTTGCTGGCTGCAGATTAATCCGGAGGACCCCAATAATCGGAGGCACCCCGCCAAAAATGAGCATTGCCTCACTAAAGATGGAGCCGTCTCTGGTAGTTCCTCGAACTTAACAGGGTCGGAGTGAAAGATGTGGCGATCCATCAGAACCCCCCCCCCTTCTGTAGATTTAATATGCATTGTGCCTCTCTAATCACAACACGGGGTCTCCAACTGAAGAACCAACACGCAAAACAAAAGAGTCGTGGGTTCTGGCAGATATGAGGTTTGGTCAAACAATGCAGTTGTCCATGGTTCATTTGCGTAGAACCCAAAAGCACTTCTATTTGGAAGCTTGGGAAACACATGAGCAACCATCCAACAACTAGTCAAAGGTGGTAAAGGTAACGATAGAACTCAAATGGGTACGGGTCAAAATTCAACCACCAGGGGACCGCAGGTTTTTAGTCCTTGGAGGGTTCCATTTTGGGTACCTATTTTCCCAAGGCCCACTTCCCCCCGCACGACGCGCATTGCCCCTAAGCTGAGATTCGTCTCTCCGGATTGTTTCGCGGCGTTTTGGTCTCTCCAGGCCCTCTTTCTAGGGGTAACTTCCATTTCCATTCTTTCCAGGGATCCGGATCTTTCTAGAAAACCATCAAGAACCCTGGCGAAATGGCGATCGGATTTTGAAAAGAAGGATGGCTGCAAATGGAAAAGGAATCAACCCCATAGAACATATATATATATATATATATTGCTATTTGTTTTAGTCCCCTGGGGTGTTTGTCTTCCTCGTCTTCCCCCCCCCAAACCACCCGTCGCCAGGCGGACCTGGCGGACCCAAAGCGAGCCTTCAAGACGGCGCTGGACGCGGAGGCGCGGCACGCGCGGAGCGCGCTTGCGCGGAACGCCCGCGCGCCGGGGGAAGCGGGTGGGTGGCCAACTTGTTGCCCCCGGAAAAACACCTAAACGCCTCGGGGCCCTTTTTGGGGCCCTGGGAAACGGAGGGGCGGGTTTGCCCTTTTTCGGTTCAAACCGGCTCTACCCTCCCAACAAACATAGCACCTGTGTGAGGCTACCTGGAAGAGCATGTTCCTCTTGTGGGGCCTGTCAGGTGCCATGTTAGTGGAAGGGAGGGTACCCTTTTTGGGTGGGTTGTCTTAGGTTGGAGGGTGGAGAACACCCATGACTGGATGGTTGGGGGCTCGGTATCACTAAGGAGCTAGAGGAGATGCAAGGACATGGTAGATGGGGAAGGAGATGCCGTTCCCCCAATCAAAGTTGGTGTGGCTGGGGATTGGAGTCTGTCGCCTGCATTTGGTGGCTTTTGAAGAGCAGAGACTGTGAGTGAGAGAGATGATGGACTGGATATGACTTGGAACGGCTTGCAGGCAGTGACCAAGGGAAGAGTGGTGACCCGCCAGTCCATCCCTTCCAGTCCATCCCTTTTCTGTCATGGGTTGTTAAACAACGGGCGGCTGGCAACGTTTGTTTCATATAATCAGGAGGAATTTCTCGCTAGCAGGGCATTTTGGTTGGGTTGTCAAAGTGAGTAATGACATTCAAAGTTGGTCAGCCCAATCCTGATTTTGGGGGACGGTTGGTTTGCAACTCATGACCTTTTTTTCCCCAGCTTAAAGGTTTCTTTTTTGGTCCCCTTCAAACCAGGGTAAGTACCCTCAAGAATACGACACACCCGTTTTGGTCACTCCGCATGTGAATTCATTTTGTTCGGTCCCCTGTTTTAACACGCCGGTTCTCGGGTTTCAGGCTTTAGCCATGGCATTTTCAACTGAGACGACGGTTTTCTCGTTTTCACCCCGAAAAAAAAGAAGAAAAAACAGAAACCAACCACAAAACAACACAGGGGAAGAAAGCACACAACAAAGAGAAACAAAAAAACGCACACGTGAGCCTCGGTCTGGGGAACCGCGAGGTTTCCCCGCGGGTGAACTCGCAGCGCGGAGGTGTCGGCACACCTGGGGCGGGTGGTGGGGGAGTTCGCGGAGCTGCCCATCCTCGAGGCGCGGCTGGGGGGCTGGGGCGCTGGGCGTTTGCCTTGGGAACTGGTTTGAGCCAATCCCCAGCGACCAGCCGCCTGGAGCCTTTTCTGCAACACCATCCCCACCCCCCCCTCCCCCCCCTTGGCCGCATTTTTCGCGCCCCAGCAAACCCCCCCAGATTCCCCGCTCCGCGCGCACAGCTCGCCCCGCGCGCCGAGCTCGACACGGCTGGGCGCTCGCGAGGTGGGCGCGAAGCTGAAGCCGGCGGAGGTGGCCTTTCCCTTCGCCGGGCTGAGCTGAGGCTTGCCGCAGGCCGATTCGACCCGACTGCTTCGACGAAACTCGGAGGTTCGGTGGGTTTTGGGGGTGAGCCCGGTAGGGTTGGGTTTGAAGCTGCAAGAGTGCATTGTTGGAGCCGGTTGGCTTTTGAAGGAAGCCGGGCAACTTTTGGGGGGTCCGAAAAATCTATTTTGAGACATACGCATCTCAGAACGAGCTGGAATGCCTGAAGAAATGCCCTTTCAAAGTGACGCTGGAGTGTCATGAGCCTCGCAACGTATCATGAGGTCTCCGGCTTTGTACCCGACAGAGATGGCACCACCCCTAAGTGCCACTCCAGTCACACCGCTAGCCAGGTGTGGGGCGCAGCGTGTATGCATGGGTATTCCCATTGCTTCTTGGGGCCAACCCGCCCAAGGGTGAGAACAGGGCGGATGACAGCGGGGCTTTGGGCTAACGCGCTCGCTGGGAGGCAAGAGGTCGGGCTACGTGCCAGGGGCACATGGCATGGAACTTCATGCGGCCAGGCCTAGTCTCGAGGAAACCTTGAGCTGGCACATGCTGCGAAGCAGGGGAGGCTACAACCACTTCTGCGTGGGAGTTTGGCAAGGAATCTTGCAACAATTGGAGCTTTGGTGAGCTTGGCTGCTTGAACCGGTGCCCGTTACTGCTTGATTTGACATCGTTTTTGTGTTGGCGTGGTTGGCAATGCACGTCCTACAAACGTATCTGGATTTCGTTCTTTGCCCTGTTGTCAAGATATGCCCTTTCAAAGCGACTGGAGTGTCATGATCTGTGATGCTTCGCGACGTATCATGAGGTCTCGTAACCGACTTTGCCCTACCCGACAGAGATGGCACCACCCCTAAGCGCCACTCCAGTCACACCGCTAGCCGGGTGTGGGGCGCAGCGTGTATGCATGGGTATTCCCATTGCTTCTTGGGGCCAACCCGCCCAAGGGTGAGAACAGGGCGGATGACAGCGGGGCTTTGGGCTAACGCGCTCGCTGGGAGGCAAGAGGTCGGGCAACGTGCCAGGGGCACATGGCATGGAACTTCATGCGGCCAGGCCTAGTCTCGAGGAAACCTTGAGCTGGCACATGCTGCAAAGCAGGGGAGGCTACAACCACTTCTGCGTGGGAGTTTGGCAAGGAATCTTGCAACAATTGGAGCTTTGGTGAGCTTGGCTGCTTGAACCGGTGCCCGTTACTGCTTGATTTGACATCGTTTTTGTGTTGGCGTGTTTGGCAATGCACGTCCTACAAACGTGTCTGGATTTCGTTCTTTGCCCTGTTGTCAAGATGTGCCCTTTCAATGTGACGTATCATGAGGTCTCGTAACCGACTTTGCCCTACCCGACAGAGATGGCACCACCCCTAAGCGCCACTCCAGTCACACCGCTAGCCAGGTGTGGGGCGCAGCGTGTATGCATGGGTATTCCCATTGCTTCTTGGGGCCAACCCGCCCAAGGGTGAGAACAGGGCGGATGACAGCGGGGCTTTGGGCTAACGCGCTCGCTGGGAGGCAAGAGGTCGGGCTACGTGCCAGGGGCACATGGCATGGAACTTCATGCGGCCAGGCCTAGTCTCGAGGAAACCTTGAGCTGGCACATGCTGCGAAGCAGGGGAGGCTACAACCACTTCTGCGTGGGAGTTTGGCAAGGAATCTTGCAACAATTGGAGCTTTGGTGAGCTTGGCTGCTTGAACCGGTGCCCGTTACTGCTTGATTTGACATCGTTTTTGTGTTGGCGTGGTTGGCAATGCACGTCCTACAAACGTGTCTGGATTTCGTTCTTTGCCCTGTTGTCAAGATATGCCCTTTCAAAGCGACTGGAGTGTCATGATCTGTGATGCTTCGCGACGTATCATGAGGTCTCGTAACCGACTTTGCCCTACCCGACAGAGATGGCACCACCCCTAAGCGCCACTCCAGTCACACCGCTAGCCGGGTGTGGGGCGCAGCGTGTATGCATGGGTATTCCCATTGCTTCTTGGGGCCAACCCGCCCAAGGGTGAGAACAGGGCGGATGACAGCGGGGCTTTGGGCTAACGCGCTCGCTGGGAGGCAAGAGGTCGGGCTACGTGCCAGGGGCACATGGCATGGAACTTCATGCGGCCAGGCCTAGTCTCGAGGAATCCTTGAGCTGGCGCATGCTGCGAAGCAGGGGAGGCTACAAGCTTCTGCGTGGGAGTCTGGCAAGGAATCTTGCAACAATTGGAGCTTTGGCGAGCTTGGCTGCTTGAACCGTTGCTCGTTGCTGCTTGATTTGACTTCGTTTTAATGTTGGCGTGTTTGGCAATGCACGTCCTACAAACGTGTCTGGATTTCGTTCTTTGCCCTGTTGTCAAGATGTGCCCTTTCAATGTGACGTATCATGAGGTCTCGTAACCGACTTTGCCCTACCCGACAGAGATGGCACCACCCCTAAGCGCCACTCCAGTCACACCGCTAGCCGGGTGTGGGGCGCAGCGTGTATGCATGGGTATTCCCATTGCTTCTTGGGGCCAACCCGCCCAAGGGTGAGAACAGGGCGGATGACAGCGGGGCTTTGGGCTAACGCGCTCGCTGGGAGGCAAGAGGTCGGGCTACGTGCCAGGGGCACATGGCATGGAACTTCATGCGGCCAGGCCTAGTCTCGAGGAAACCTTGAGCTGGCACATGCTGCGAAGCAGGGGAGGCTACAAGCTTCTGCGTGGGAGTCTGGCAAGGAATCTTGCAACAATTGGAGCTTGGTGAGCTTGGCTGCTTGAACCGGGGCCCGTTACTGCTTGATTTGACTTTGTTTTAGTGTTGGCGTGTTTGGCAATTCACGTCCTACAAACGTATCTGGATTTGGTTCTTTGCCCTGTTGTCAAGATGTGCCTTTCAATGTGACGTATCATGAGGTCTCGTAACCGACTTTGCCCTACCCGACAGAGATGGCACCACCCCTAAGCGCCACTCCAGTCACACCGCTAGCCGGGTGTGGGGCGCAGCGTGTATGCATGGGTATTCCCATTGCTTCTTGGGGCCAACCCGCCCAAGGGTGAGAACAGGGCGGATGACAGCGGGGCTTTGGGCTAACGCGCTCGCTGGGAGGCAAGAGGGGCTTTGGGCTAACGCGCTCGCTGGGAGGCAAGAGGTCGGGCTACGTGCCAGGGGCACATGGCATGGAACTTCATGCGGCCAGGCCTAGTCTCGAGGAAACCTTGAGCTGGCACATGCTGCAAAGCAGGGGAGGCTACAAGCACTTCTGCGTGGGTCTGGCAAGGAATCTTGCAACAATTGGAGCTCGGTGAGCTTGGCTGCTTGAACCGGTGCCCGTTGCTGCTTGATTTGACTTCGTTTTAGTGTTGGCGTGGATGGCAATGCACGTCCTACAAACGTATCTGGATTTGGTTCTTTGCCCTGTTGTCAAGATGTGCCCTTTCAATGTGACGTATCATGAGGTCTCGTGACCGACTTTGCCCTACCCGACAGAGATGGCACCACCCCTAAGCGCCACTCCAGTCACACCGCTAGCCAGGTGTGGGGCGCAGCGTGTATACATGGGTATTCCCATTGCTTCTTGGGGCCAACCCGCCCAAGGGTGAGAACAGGGCGGATGACAGCGGGGCTTTGGGCTAACGCGCTCGCTGGGAGGCAAGAGGTCGGGCAACGTGCCAGGGGCACATGGCATGGAACTTCATGCGGCCAGGCCTAGTCTCGAGGAAACCTTGAGCTGGCACATGCTGCGAAGCAGGGGAGGCTACAACCACTTCTGCGTGGGATTTTGGCAAGGAATCTTGCAACAATTGGAGCTTTGGTGAGTTTGGCTGCTTGAACCGGTGCCCGTTACTGCTTGATTTGACTTTGTTTTAGTGTTGGCGTGGTTGGCAATGCACGTCCTACAAACGTATCTGGATTTGGTTCTTTGCCCTGTTGTCAAGATGTGCCCTTTCAATGTGACGTATCATGAGGTCTCGTAACCGACTTTGCCCTACCCGACAGAGATGGCACCACCCCTAAGCGCCACTCCAGTCACACCGCTAGCCGGGTGTGGGGCGCAGCGTGCATGCATGGGTATTCCCATTGCTTCTTGGGGCCAACCCGCCCAAGGGTGAGAACAGGGCGGATGACAGCGGGGCTTTGGGCTAATGCGCTCACTGGGAGGCAAGAGGTCGGGCTACGTGCCAGGGGCACATGGCATGGAACTTCATGCAGCCAGGCCTAGTCTCGAGGAAACCTTGAGCTGGCACATGCTGCGAAGCAGGGGAGGCTACAACCACTTCTGCTTTGGTTTTTGGCAAAGAATCTTGCAACAATTGGAGCTTGGTGAGCTTGGCTGCTTGAACCGGTGTTTGTGACTGTTTGATTTGGCTTCGTTCGTGTGTTGGCGTGGTTTGCTATGCACGTCCTACAAACGTGTCTGGATTGCGTTCTTTGCCCTGTTGTCAAGATGTGGCCTTTCAATGTGATGTATCATGAGGTCTCGTAACCGACTTTGCCCTACCCGACAGAGATGGCACCACCCCTAAGCGCCACTCCAGTCACACCGCTAGCCAGGTGTGGGGCGCAGCGTGTATACATGGGTATTCCCATTGCTTCTCGGGGCCAACCCGCCCAAGGGTGAGAACAGGGCGGATGACAGCGGGGCTTTGGGCTAACGCGCGCGTTGGGAGGCAAGAGGTCGGGCTACGTGCCAGGGGCACATGGCATGGAACTTCATGCGGCCAGGCCTAGTCTCGAGGAAACCTTGAGCTGGCACATGCTGCGAAGCAGGGCAGGCTGCAAGCACTTCTGCGTGGGAGTTTGGCAAGGAATCTTGCAACAAGTGGAGCTGGGTGAGTTTGGCTGCTTGAGCCGGTGCCCGTTGCTGCTTGATTTGACTTCGTTTTAGTGTTGGCGTGGATGGCAATGCAGGTCCTGCAAACGTGTCTGGATTTTGTTCTTTGGCTTGTTGTCAACATGTGCCCTTTCAATGTGACGTATCATGAGGTCTCGTGACCGACTTTGCCCTACCCGACAGAGATGGCACCACCCCTAAGCGCCACTCCAGTCAC